ACATCTGAAGTGTCGCTGCTTCCTGGCAGTGCCACCAGCCGGGGCAGGTGCTGCCTCTGTGGGGTCACCATCAGCGGAGATCTGAACCAGCTCGATCCTCCAGCGCTTCCCGACCTTCCCTGCCAGAACCCTTAGACCAGAGCAGCTCAAACAACAGAGTCCCTGTGGGCCTTAGTGCTGAGTTAATTATGCCTGGGCCATACCTGCCAAATGGTGACATTTCACCCCAGTAAAAATTACTGGGTGCTGCCTGAGTGTGCACACAGCGAGGCTGACGTGGGGGGACGCTGAAGGCACCTGTCTGTGTTCTTGTGTGTGCCTGGCTTGGCTTGTCCCCTGAGGCCATGGGCTTCTGTCACCCAAGGGGGGCCTGCCGGGAGAGATCTCAGCAGTTCTGGGGCGGGTCAGGGTCTCCCGCTGCTCTGAAGGAGATAGCCTTGACCCCTGTCTCGTGTTCTCCAGTCAGGATTACCAACATGGCATCTTCCAGTCCATTGGCTTCAAGGAGTTCCACGAGTACCTTGTCAGTGAGGGGAATTGCTCACCCGAGACCAGTGCCCTGCTGCTGCAAAAAGGTGGGAGGAACACCCGCTGTGTCCTACGTCCCTCAGCTCCAGGTGACACTGCGTGATGGCCCGAACCAAGCTCAAACCTTGGGACAGGTCTTGTTGGGGTTGAGCTGCACCTTTCTCTCTGCATTTTTCCACTTCTGCCTGCTCAGGGAAGTAGAGACTCCTTCTTCAGGACAGTTCCCAGAACAGTTCCTCCCTCCCTGCCCTCAGGTCTCCTCCCAAGACGTGCTGGGCACAGCATGACTTGGGATCTGGTCCGCTGGTGACCTGGGTGATGGGATCCCAGCTGGGGCGTGAATGCTGTGGAGAAGAGGGCTAGGAAGAAGGAATGAAGCCGAATGCAGCATCTGATTCCACAGCAGGGTGGTGGGAAGGAATCTGGGGATCTAGTGGATCGCAGCCTGAGTCAGTAGTGATGCACTCTTGGAAGGCGTGTTTCGTTCTGGAGTGTTGGACTGATGGGCAGTTGTTAGAGGAAGAGCTGCTCTGCTCCTCAGCACAGGGAGGTCTCAGACAGAGCCGGTCTGTGCTGAGGAGGGTTCAGTGCGAGGTGGAGATGGAGGCTGAGGAAACCACAGAAATGATAAAAGGCTTGAAAACAAGTCTAGTACAGAAGAGGCTTGTTGTGTCTGCCCAGGAGATACGGTACAGCGGGATACGATAAGTCTGGCACTAAATATTGAAAGGTTGTACAGCGGTAAACGGTCCTCTGGGCCCACTGTGGGTAGGACAAACAGTCCTGGGCTCCGTTTGCGCAGAGGAGTATTCAATTAGGCATTATGAGGGCAGTGCAGCCCCTGAACAGCTTGTTCTACCTGCTAAAATAAAAATAAAGCTTTTTTCACTCCCTCTGTTTCAAAGGAATCCAGGCCCTGAAACAGGTGACCAAGAGATATGCCCGGAGGCAGAACAAATGGGTCCGAAACCGCTTCCTGAGACGTAAGTCCCTTTTTCCTGCCCTGCCGTGCCACCCCTTGCATTTCTCCTCATCCCACCTCAGCGCATCCCTTGCCCCTGACTCGAGAGAGGAGAGCGGTGGCTCCTCTGCTTTGGGGTGGCACATGTTGGTGGGAGGCACGGAGCCTGGCAGAGACCAAACAATCCTCCCTGGATTCTTCCCACTGGCCCAGGCTGCCTGTCGATCTTCCCCTCCCAACAGAAATGCTGTCAGGATGGTTAATACTCGTCAGGATGGTTAATACTCCAGAGGAGCAAAGCGAGCAAAGGCTCAGCCCCGTGACGAGCAGCAGAAGATGGTGATGGCCACAGCACCTCTGCGGCCTGTTGTGCCGACAGCGCCCGAGGGGCTCGGG